CATGTCCCCAAGCATAATCTGGGCGGCTCACAAAGCGGTGATCAGAGGCACATGCATTAAGCTAGCAACCAGAAAAAAGGCACAAAAGATGAAGACGCTAAAACAACTCCTAGATAAACTAAGACAGACAAAACAAAAACACAAGACAGCTCCTACGCCAGCAATGCTTGAACAACTGAGAGGGATCAGGAGATCCATAACAGAACTACTGCTAGATGAAACAGCTAAAGCTATGGCATGGACGAAGAGGACCTATTACGAGAAATCGAATAAAATGGACACTTTACTAGCCAGAACCCTACGTCCAAGACAGAACCGAACCCCCATTACCACGATCAGACATGCAGACAAGGTCTTCACAGATTACTATACAAAGCTATATAACCACACACCCAGGACTGTAAACGCACATGAAGACACAATGAATAGCATGCAGGATTCTTACGGGATCTGGACCTACCAAAACTCTTGACGGCAGCAGCATCACTCCTAAATGAGCCCATCACAATGGAGGAAATAGACAAGGCAATAACGGGACTGAAAGGCAACAAAGCCCCCGGACTTGATGGCTTTGACGGAACATATTACAAAAGTTTTAGGGAAGACCTCTCACCAAGATTGGAAAAGCTCTTCAGTCACCTCATGGATGGTGGAACCGCAGAGGGCGAGTTGTCCATGGCCAACATCATCCTCCTGCAAAAAAACGGGTAAGGATCCCCTATCACCAGATAACTACAGACCTATTTCCTTGATCAACCAAGACATCCTGGCAAAAATTTTGGCAGACCGTCTCAACCCCAGACTGAAAATGTTGATACACCCTGACCGAGTGGGATTCATAACGGATAGACAACTTTTTGAGAACACCAGAAGGAACATTGACCTCATCTGGAGACAAAAAACTAGGAACACACCTACACTGTTGGTCTCAATAGATGCGGAAAAGGCCTTCGACAGGGTCGAATGGCCTTATCTATTCAACCTCCTGGAATATCTCGGCTTCCCCAGCAGATATGTGGCATCGATCAAAGCAATGTACAACCACGCAACTACACAGGTCAAGATCGCCGGGACAGGGTCCAAGCCTTTCAAATTAGGGAATGGGACCCGGCAGGGATGTCCCCTATTCCCGCTCCTATTTGTGCTCACATTGGAACCATTTCTACAAGCTATGCGGACGACATCCTGCTGACCCTAACGGATCCTGAGGAGTCCCTAGAGACACTGCAAGAAATCCTTACCCGGTTCGGAGTGTTCTCTGGATACAAGGCTAACCTAAACAAATCCAGTGCTCTCCCGTTGGGCATGTCTGCGGAGGACGCGGCGGCATTGGGGGACACCTATAACATACCTATAGAGAAAGACCACCTGAAATATCTTGGGGTACAATTACCAAGCGACCCGACAAAATTGTTCCAACTAAATTATGCCCCTCTAATACGCACCCTAATTCGTGACATGGAAAAATGGCAATATAGACCCATATCTTGGATCGGGCGCATACATACAGTTAAAATGAATATCCTCCCCCGAATCCTATTCCTCTTCCAAGCACTTCCAATAAAAATTCTAAAATCCGACCTAGCCCACTTACAAAAAGCCATAGGAACCTTCATATGGCAGAATCTTCGCCATAGAATATCCAGAAATATCCTTTACAGGCATAAGCAAAGGGGTGGACTGGACCTGCCAAATTTGTATTATTATTATCTAGCGGCACAACTAGCGCAGGTGGCTATGTGGCACGCACCACTGGAAGTGAGGAGATGGGTAGACCTGGAGTCCCTCCTGACTGAAGCGGACCTCTCGCAATACCATATGTGGGTCCCCAGGGAAGACAGACCTATCCTAAGAACAACTTGCCCAGCTATTCTGAACTCTCTCAGAGTCTGGGATGCCTCCACACTTAAATACAAATTGGCCTCCTCCCCATTCCCACTGACCCCCCTCTTGAGAAACATAGCAATCCCCCCGGGTATGGCAGCGAGGGATTTCACGAACTTAGAAAGGGTGGGACTACAACGGATATGTCAAATGTTTGACAAAGATCAGTTGGTCACGTTTGAGCATCTAAAACAACAAGCACATCTTATCCCAGCCGATTTCTTCAGGTACATACAAATTAGAGACTATATACAGCAACCAGTAGTGCAACACGCTGCTAGGAAACCACAGACCTTCTTTGAGAGGATGTGCATTAATGAAACCGCACAATGAGGCCTAATCACTTGCCTATACACACACCTAAGTTCAGATACTGAGGAATGGGGATCCATAGCATACACAGACGCATGGGAAAGAGATCTAGGGGAGGTTCTAGAGGGAATTGAGTGGAGAGAAATCTGGGAAGCTAACAATTCAGTGTCCATCTGTGTATCCCTTCAGGAGCAGGCATATAAAACTATGTTTAGATGGTACACCACACCGGCCAAACTGCATTGCATGAAACAAACGCCTAATGACACCTGCTGGAGAGGATGCGGCCAGAGGGGCACATACATTCACATGTGGTGGGAATGCCCCCAAGCACAATCCTTCTGGACAAAGATACACAATCTGATTAAAAGAATTTTCCATAGGGCGCCCAGTTTGAACCCCTGGACATACTTGCTTAGCAGATCTTTAGATGACTGGACAAGGAGGGAACAGAAACTGATCCATAAGATCACTCTAGCTGCCAGGAGAGCGATAGCGCAGACGTGGCTACAAATACAAATGCCACCGATTCGGAGGGTCATATCCAACATAAAAGAGGTATATTTGATGGACAACCTGACCGCTCGACTAAGAGGGACCATGACCAATTTCGACAAATTGTCTGACGCCTGGCAGAACAGCGACCTCTCCGATGACATAACATCCGCCCGACCCCCTGAAATAGGGGTAGGGGCTAATTGAGGACCCCCAGAGGACTCGGTCATACACTAAGGTACCCCACACAAAGCCATACTGCACGGGACTGTCGTACAATACTCACCCTTTCCCCCTCCTATCCCCCTCACCCTTTCCCCCTCCTATCCCCCTCACCCCCCCAGCTAACTCTCTATACTTTCTACTACTCTATGTTCTGTTACCTTTCTCTCGATTCAAACTTCCGGGGGAAACTGAGAACCTGAGAACCGAACCTTATATAAGCGGCACTCTAAGTGGCCCCCGGCCGGGTCGAGCACATTACATAAGGAACGGGCGACGGAGTTCCCCCCCGACCAAAAACTTCACCATACCATAACTGTAGCTACAAAGTTCTAAATAATATAGGACACCATCCGCTAAGGTACAATGTGATAAATAATAACTACCAAAGAGCACCATCCTAATGGAAGCTGAGCCCGTTCGCTCAAAGGGGGAAACAACGGAAAGATCTCGCTACAATAGGTACCCCCACAGCACAGTACCAAAGGTAAAATGTTGCCGACGAGTCGAATAGGCAGGACGTATAGCTTAATAAAGGTTTAGCATATAACATGTTATTATATCTTTTGTATAATCTAATAAATGGGAAAAGACCTTGACGAGTAGTTAGACAACCCTACTACAAACGTCAGATTAGAAATGCAATATGATATCAAGTGTTTAACAGGGTTCAAACATGTTGCAAATTAATAGGCTTTTGCACAAGCCATGTTGCCAATGTTGTAAAACTAACCTTGTCAAGATGAAAAATAAAGAAATTTTAAAAAAAAAGACAGAAATGGGAAAATTCTGCTCTTTTAAGTAGAATGGAGGGGAATATGTGTTCAAATAAGAGGAAAATTTATATATACTCAATCAGCAACCACTCGCCATTTGTAACACTATCATACGTTGTACTGACAAAACAATCTGTTAGTTTCAAAGGAACTGTATAGTAGATTTAATCAAATAAACAGGAAAAAAAAGATTTTGATGAGAAATTAATTTTTTTCTTAAAATCTAATTTTTACATTGAGGAGTAAATGATAGTAAAGTGAGGATTCTAAACACAACTTAACATTCATGAATTAAAAAAAAAAAAAATAAGGATCTAGAATTTGAATCTGAGACCTTTTGATCTGCAATCAAATGATCTACCAATAAGCAATAACCCCAATTTTGCATGCTTGGCTGACTTTTGATTTCCCCCAAATATAATATAAAAGATTTAATTTATTTGTTTTTCTTAATTTAGGTTCTCTTGACGGCCTCCTGCTGGTCATTAGCAGAACTCACAAAATCGACAGAAATGAGTAAATTCTGCTCTTTGATTTAGAATCGAGAGTCAGATTTCTTCAAATGAGCGGAAAATGTGTACATTCTCCACCAGCATCTAGTAGAAATTTGTAACTCTATAACATGTTGCACTGAGATAAAAATCTTTTACTTTTCAAGGAACTGGATGGTAGATTTCATCATACGAGTAGAAAATAAACATTTTGATGAAAAAAAATGTTTTTCTTAAAATACAACTTTCAAATTGAGGACTCGATGTTAGTCATGATTCTGAAAATATGTTAACATTCAAGATTTTTAAAGGGGGCACCAGAGACCTCTTGATGTGCAGTCAAATGCTCTACCACTGAGTTATACCCGCAATTTGGCAAGTTTCCCTGACTTTTGATTTCCCCCCAATATAATATAAGACTGTATTTATTTGTTTTTCTTAATTAAGGTTCTCTTGACGACCTCCTGCTGGTCATTAGCAGAACTCACATAATCGACAGAAATGAGTAAATTCTGCTCTTTGTTTTAGAATCGAGAGGAAGATTTCTTCAAATGAGAGGGAAATGTGTACATTCTCCACCAGTATCTAGGAAAATGTGTACATTCTCCACCAGCATCTAATAGAAATTTGTAACACTATAACATGTTGCACTGAAATAAAAATATTTTACTTTTCAAGGAACTGGATGGTAGATTTCATCATACGAGTAGAAAATAAACATTTTGATTAAAAAAATTGTTTTTTTAAAAATACAATTCTCAAAATTATGACTTGATGTTTGTCTTGAATTTGAAAATATGTTTATATTCAAGATTTTTAAAGAGGGCACCAGGATTTTAACCTGAGACCTCTTAATCTGCAGTCAAATGCTCTACCACTGAGCTATACCCCCAATGTGGGCAGTCTGGCAGTATATAAGAATGTATTTATTTGTTTTTCTTAATTTAGGTTCTCTTGTCAGCCTCCTGCTGGTCATTACCAGAACTCACAAAATCGACAGAAATGACTAAATTCTGCTCTTTGATTTAGAATCGAGAGGCAGTTTTTTTCAAATGAGAAGAAAATGTGTACTTTCACCACCAGCATCTAGTAGAAATTTGTGACACTTTAACATGTTGCACTGAAATTAAAAATCTTTTACTTTTCAAGGAACTGGATGGTAGATTTCATCTTACGAATAGGAAATAAACATTTTGATGAAAAAAATGTTTTTCTTAAAATACAATTTTCAAAGTTATGACTTGATGTTGGTCTTGATTTTGAAAATATGTTTATATTCAAGATTTTTAAAGGGGGCAACAGAATTTGAACCTGAGACCTTTTGATCTGCAGTCAAATGCTCTACCACTGAGCTATACCCCCAATGTGGGCAGTCTGGCAGTCTTTTGATTGCCCTCCAATATGATATAAGAATGAATTTATTTGTTTTTCTTAAAGGACCACTCTAGGCACCCAGACCACTTCAGCTTAATGAAGTGGTCTGGGTGCCAGGTCCAGCTAGGGTTAACCCATTTTTTCATAAACATAGCAGTTTCAGAGATTTTGAAAATATGCTTATATTGAAGGAGGCACCAGATTTGAACTTGAGACCTCTTGATCTGCCGTCAAATGCTCTACCACTGAGTTATACCCCCAATTTGGCAATTCTGCTAGTCTTTTGATTGCCCTCCAATATAATATAAGAATGTATTTATTTGTTTTTCTTAATTTAGGTTCTCTTGTCAGCCTAATGCTGGTCATTACCAGAACTCACAAAATCGACAGAAATGAGTAAATTCTGCTCTTTGTTTTAGAATTGAGAGGCAGATTTCTTCAAATGAGAGGAAAATGTGTACATTCTCCACCAGTATCTAGGAAAATGTGTACATTCTCCACCAGCATCTAGTAGAAATTTGTAACTCTATAACATGTCGCACTGAAATAAAAATCTTTTACTTTTCAAGGAACTGGATGGTAGATTTCATCATACGAGTAGAAAATAAACATTTTGATGAAAAAAAATGTTTTTCTTAAAATACAACAAGCAAATTGTGGACTCGATGTTAGTCATGATTCTGAAAATATGTTGTTACGGGAAAATGTAAATATTACAAGTTTTAGAATGAAATGTATTTCTTAAACTGTGTACTTTGTCTTTAAGAGATATTGCAAATTGACAAGGTGGTAGAAATGGAACATAATGTTTTTCATAGATGTTTCTTTAAGCAATAACCTCAATGCATAATATGTTTGCGCCATTTTGTCCCAGACAAATTACAATAACAATAATGCATAAACAAGCTTCAAGGCTATACTACGACACTTTCAGTACTAAATATACTGTTGTAACCCCAAGTTAATGGAACTTCGCCAAATCCGGGAATCTCCCACGACTGTACACTTACGACTTAGTATAAACAACAGATAACCTATTCAGACTTTAAGATGCCATCTTGAACTAAGTCAGGAAAATTTCCATGATGTATGCATCCTTTAGTTATGGCCTTGTATGTTTGCCAAATTAAGGGAGGTCCTAAAGTGAATAAAGTAAAAGAAGTGTTACTTTTTCATATTTGAACTACGGTAACCTAAAATGGAGACACCTAAGGTATAAATAGGTGTACTTTTAAATGTTAAGAAACAGAGGAGAGACTTGGAGACAGACGCTGCTCCATCTTAAAATGACAGAGAGGCTGACATGATGACATGTTCAGAAGGGTATGTTAACCTATTAATGATATTTGCAAGCATGTAATTTCCTCTTATAAACTCTGCTATAATGGATTTTATATTTATATTTCATTTATATCTTCATCATTAGAGATGATTTTAATGTGAACAAAGCACTTCGAGTTCAGGTGCCAAGTACAACGTAATTAGCATAATATGCTGAAATTGTGGATCTTAATTAATATCATAAGAAAATAAATATACATATTTGGTAAACTCTCTGATATGCCTAATACACCAGCACAGCATGGCCCATTAGTTCCATGACAGTGGATTGCAGACAGGGGGATTTGTTCTCTTTGTAGCTGCTTAGTATGCATGCACAGGAAAAAGATTAATGCAAAATGTTGTCAAAAGAAAAGTGATAAGACAGAGCGATGAAATTTGAAGTCTAATTCCAAGAATGCAAAGAAAATTGCATTATGGCCTAATGAAAGCATTCATGCAACAGACAGACAGGATTTTTAATTATTGCATTACTGCGTTCTGGATTCTAATGTCCACTATATAAGAAAAGTTTGTAAAACAGTGATATTTTCCATATTGTCAGTTACGCTAGCTGTTGATTAAAAATCAGGAATTATAACAGCATAACTATTTCTGGAGTCTGGAATTTCCAGCCAAGGTTGCGGAGATACAGAGACATGTAAACATTCCAAGGAATTGAGAAGTCGTTGTTTTATATTCCAAATTATGAACAACATTATTACATACAGCCATAAAGAGAAAGACATGACTTTTAAATAAATTCAGTGCAGTACAATGCAGTACACTGCAGCATATATTTTATATAGTATATGATAACTAGCTCATATTTTTTCCTAAACAGAGTTGAAATTATACCACCCTACTAGAAAAAAATGGCAACAGGTGGTTATACATCCTTTGCTTCTCTAAATGCTCTGCAAAAATAAATATTTATAACATGATTAAAAATAATATATATGTAAGATAAATCAGTGCTAAATAAAATTGTAACTAGACAGGATCTCTAATAACTTTTAAACAGAAATTATTAAAGGCTTATTTAAATAAAATGTTAAATACATTTACAGCTTTAAATGTGACCAAAAGATATTAAATGATGTGTTAAGCAGCCAGCCCAATTCACTAGAATAGCATAAGTATTCTACTATTTAAAGTTCACAATTCCTGCACATAATGACTTTGCTTACTCGGGTACAGTCTTTAGTCTATTGCAACGGCAGTAAAGTCCACCAATTTTAAAAGGGAAAGCTTACTTAAATCAGTGGTACTAGCAGTAAGGAAATTAGAACAATTATTTTGTACTACTGACTGTAATCAGATCAGACACATGTAATCTCAGTGAATTTCATAAACTAGGTTTTCATAAAATAAGATTAAATATCAAAGTTGTTTATATATCAATATATCAATGTTGTTTATAAATAAAAGTATATAGACTAGGCAGCAGCCTGCTCTCTCAGAGCCAGAAACAGATTTTAAAAAACCAAAAATAAACATGAAGGGTGAAATAATTGCTTCGTTAAAAGCTATATGCTGCTGCAATTATGTATATAAATACAGATTAGGTCACAGCGTAGAAATCAAAAATACAGTTTTAAATCTCATATATGGGGATTCAGTTTCACCACATATTCTACAATTCTGAAAGAGGCTAATTTTAATAATATGTTGTAAGAGCATTGTGAAGATATATATTCTGCAAAATTAATGTGATATTGCAAAGCATGCAATATTCTAAACAGACATTAAAATTAAAGAAAAAAAAGAAAAAGAATAATGCATAAAGAATAATGCATAAAAAAATGCAGTGTCAATTAAAGTGATAATACTCTGATATATTAAATCACATTGCATATCATATATCTGCTATATGAAAAGTATAATTAAGGTAACTTTACTGTCCAAAGCCCCCTCACATCTATTTTGTAGATTTTATACTTTTCAGTGGTCACCTCCAAAGAAGCCTCTGAAACTGGAGGGCTCAGAGGGGTGCTCATCCCGAAAGGAATCAGATTCCAGACTTAAATTTTTTTAAATAAATAAATAAATGATAGAAAAGGAATCACGGGAACACCCAGAACATGCATTTCTGTATATAATCTTAATTTGCAGATATTTTATGCCTTAAAGACATAATTTAATTAAATATGCAGGTATCTTTAAAAATTAAGTAATGTTAAAAAAATAAATAAAATAAATAATAATAATAAAAAATATATTTTACACCACAATATAAACATCTTTGTTAAACAGATTTAAGTACAAGTACTTATAACAAGAAATATACAGAATCCGTTTACAACAGGCAGGTTTAGCATAAATTTAAATTTGTTGTTTTTTGGGGGATTTACTATTGCCCAAGAAATCTCTGAACATATTCAGAATTTTTGAGAGCAGCAAGTCTAGATAGCAGATTGCAATGGACGCCATTACAATATTGCTTTGCCGACTGAGGTCAGAGCTTTAAACAGGGCCGTCTTTAACGCGGGGCAAACGGGGCAGCTGCCCCGGGCCCAATCACTCCTGGGGGCCGAAGGCAGCTGTCCCGTGGGCCCCGCTGCCCTAAAAAAATAAATAAAATGTTTCCTGGCCGCTTTAGGGGCCCCCCGCACTGTAAGGAGTCCCACCGGGTGGCCCATGCACTTAGGGCCACCCGGTGGGCTTGTACCAGCAAGGGCCCGGTCGGGCGCTGTGGCCCTTTAACAGCGCGACCGGGCCTCTTGCTTTTCGGCACCGCTGGGAGGAAGTGAGTGCCAAGCGTCACTTCCTCCCATAAAGAGCTGCTGCGCGGGAGAAGAAGGACCTGTACGGGAGGGAGGAGGAGGCAGTGAGGATGGGGACTCCTCACTCACATCATCCTCAGGCAGCACACTGGATCCCAGGGATGCCACCCTCCAGCAAAAGGTAGGAAACTGGAGGGTGGGCTTAAAATGTAAATTTTACATGTATATCAGTTTGTCTGTCCATGTATCTGTGTGTGTCAGTATGTCTGTGTGTATGTGTGTCAGTATGTCTGATAGTGTATGTGTCTGTGTGTGTCAGTATGTCTGTGTCTGTGTGTGTGTGTCAGTATGTCTGACAGTGTGTCTGTGTATGTCAGTATGTCTGATAGTGTATGTGTCTGTGTATGTCAGTATGTCTGTGTGTGTGTGTGTGTCAGTATGTCTGACAGTGTGTGTGTGTGTGTGTGTCAGT